CTAAGGTAACAAGCATCTCGTTATATATTGAATATTTCATCTTTTGGCTTCATTATGGGGGTTTTTCAGGCGTCTAGTTACCAGACGTCTGAAATCTGGAGGCTGAAGCTTAAACCACTTTAATTATTTTTTGAAAATCTTTTGATATGATAGCATAAATGTCGACCGATATACTAAATGCCCCAACATTAAATATATTCGCATTGAAAAAAGTAAGGATATACGCCCCGAAGATATACGTCGAAAGCATTAAATATAATATTTAAAACGCTCCACTTTGTGCTGAAAAATTAAGAAGCATTATTTTATATTCCACTTCAAACAGAGTCATCAACCACTGTTGCAAACGTGCTCACTCGTAATTCATTCGCGCGGCCAAGGTTAAGTGTTTGCAGCCATTTATTATTTACGCCTCCAGTACTTCAAGCATAAGCTACAACTGTAAACTTCCACTCTTTTCGCACTGAATTTGCCGAAAATTGCAATGTGTGGCGTGTTGCAACACTAGTGGACGCAGTGTTGCATGTAGAGACACTTTTTAAGCAAATCACGCAAATCTTACAAAGGACCTTCGAGGAATTTTTGGTGTTATTTGCATTGTGTTATTTTTGTTATAGTTAGTTGACACACAGTGAAGTGAGTGTCTCTGCACTTTTATGTGGCAAAGTAATGGCGCCCTCTCAATGCTCATGTGTGCCACATATTGCAGTGACATTTGGAAATACTCCAAAAACAGAGAACAATGCAAAAACACGAAGTTATGCAAAAGCAGTGCGAGCAAAATGCGGCGCGCATGTGCCATGCCACAAACGTAACACAGCTACATTTTTGTGGCAACTACGTGTCTCATAGTTGGAAACACCGTCGCCCATACACATTCCGGTGCGTGGCATAAACGCACCTTGACACCGATTGGCGCCAGCAGCTGACACTTTTCCAATTTCACACTTCTCTTCTTCTCCACCGAGTTTTTGCGTGCAACATTCCTCTTTTATTTAAATGTGTGCGTGTATCCATATTTACTGAATTTTCAATTTGCCAGAAATTATTCATACCTCCACCCGCTTCCGCTTTCTCCTAGTCCATAATGCGTGGTGAAATTCATCAGCCGAGTGTGAAAAGTGATGAAGGCTGCATACTCGTATATATAGTTGTTGCTTTGTTCGTGTAATAGTTTAGTGTGCTGCTGATGTTAGTCGTAGTTTTTTTTCTGCTACACAGCTGGTAACAGTCTGCACACGATGAGGCCGGAAACAATTACTTTGTCAGATATTCTATTTTTTGGTTGAAATCACTCAATTTTCTGCCATTCACCATTTGTCCACGTAAAATTGAGTGGTGTTAAAAGCCTTGTAGAGCACATAAAAAAAGCTTGACTATATTTTTAATTGCTTGAAGTAATGTACTGAGTTCTTATATCTGGGTCCACAGATTGCTAAATGTTTTACTCTCTTCTATATATATAGTTTCAAAGTCTATTCTTCATACTAAGCTTGCTCAGAAGCTTCAGTAAGCTTTTAATTTCTATAGTTGTGGTGTTCCACTATAACGCTCACTGAGATAAAGGCCTAAATTGAAAAACCGTTTCGAAACTAGTTTCAAGAAATGCAAGTATGGTGAAAGGCCCGATCTCTTACCGATATAAAAATAGAAAATTACACGTAACCTGCAAGAGTATCTCTAAAATCTCTCAAAATATTTGGATTTCTCAAAAGTGGGTTGAATTTCTAGAATCCTTAATTGAAAGAGTAATAAGAAAACGCCTTCACTCAAAAACGATGAGACGATGGATACATTATAATAAAGCCCAATTCATAAGTAAAGCTTAACAAAAAAAGTAATATAAAGTTTTTGTACATTTAAGAATTAATGCCTATAATGTTGCTTTGAGTTCAACAGTCGAAGAAAAGTAATTGCAAGTAGTAGTAGTTTGCAATCAAGGCAAATGTTATATGCCAGAATTAATCAAATACCCTATACCTATCTACTAACACACTCGAAAAATTTTAACCTGGAACACAGGTTTTATTTCAAACGAAAATATATTGAATTTCTAATGAACTCTCCAGCATTGAAATATATACTGAAAAGTGGAAGAAAATTAATAAGACTTATCTTGTGAAGTCCAACTAGTAATACTTAAATAATATATAATTTCAATTATATTGTTTAGTATTGCAAATGATATTGCTCCTGAGGCGATCAGCTATGAAAAGTCAGCAGTTGAAATAGAGAACAAACTCATACAAATTAAAAGAACCTGTCGGTTTGTACTAAAATCGATGCTATTCGTTGCAAATATATATACTCATTTATAAATATAAATAATTCCACTCTAAATATTTACCATCTATGTCTACTCTTTTAGGTGCCATTTGTGGCGGCCACTGCTGTACGAATGCAACGAATTGGAGCTGAGAAAGAAGTCCACCGGCGAATTCGAACGTCTGTTGCATCATCATACCAATAGTCTTCGCGGCATACTCGAATCACGGCGAATCTATTTCAAAGTGAGTGCAATCTTAAATTTTAATTTAAAACAAACTTTCGAAATTGTTTCTTTAACTTTGATTTGACTGTTGTAATATCGAACAAAAAATAGTTTTCAAAATTTCGAATAAAAATAAATTTTTAATAAATATCATTGAAATATAAAAATTTACAATATATAAAATATTTTTTTTTACAAATAGATTTATCTTATTTCGAATTTAAAAAAACAAAATAAATTAATATCTTTTGAAATAATTATTTTTTTTTTACTGTGTAATTAAAATTAAAAAAAAATATAAAAATAAAAAAAATAACATATTTGAAATTCATATGTTTGATGTAAAAAATGAAATTATTTACGAAATGAATATTTCGATTTTTTTCTAAACAATTAATTTTCTAAAGTAATTTGTTTTGTAAAGATAAATATTAATATACAAGTACATTAAACCAGCTGAAAAAATTGCT